GCCCTGATTCGATCGACTGTATTGCCGTGAAGCATCAAGACTTGTCGAGAGTTCAGACACTTTCTTTGTCAATTCAGGCCACTTGTTTGTTCCAGGGATGAACTTGGAAGGTGCAGCATTAGCAGCCCTGACATAAGCTGGAGTAATAAGTTCATTAATTTTGTCAGCCATTGCTGCTAAACGGGTTTGATCTTCATTGAAAGCAGCATGAATTATTTGTATGTTATTAGAGTTATTATTTGTATGAAAGCCATAGTGACTTCAACAAGTCATCACTGAAATGGCTTTCCTGCCAGATCACACATTCATGTACAGCAAGTATGAAGGGTCGCTGATCTCCATGTTCAAGTCCTTACAGTAAAGTAAGTATTTTTGAAGATTCACTTTCTGAATTAGATTTCAATGAGCTGCTGTTTCAGTTTGGAATATTTATCACAAGTCAGGTGGTTTAAGTAATTAAGTCATGCACTGAATTCAGAATATCAGGACTCAATTGCTGCAACTACGTGGTTGAATTTTGTAGAATCCTCACTAATGCGAGCGATAGAAAATTGTGCTTCGATCTGAGCAAACCACAATGAAGGATTATTTTTCCAGAAAGGCGGTGGCTTCACCGCAACGTGGTGTGATTTGTGGCTTTGGTGGAATATCGTCGGGCATACTGATAGATAATTTTCACTTTAATTAATAAACACTTATTAGCACACAATATTGTAGCATGAGGATACCCTATTGATATTTTACCATGATAACAATAAATATTTAACCATGCAGAAAAAATTTACGTAACGATACACACACAAATAATACAGGGTCAGCAATTACACACACAAATAATATTTTACCGAAATGCATTTGAAAAGAAACCCTTATTTGAGAAAAAAAATGATGCGTTCATTTTGTATTGCGCACACACAAAATCACCACTTCACACTGCTAAGGCACTTTCGAAGGGAAAAGGAAATCACTCCTGTAGCACATGGGAAAACAATTCACTACTTTCGAACACTGAAAAAAGAATTTTGCCGTAGCACGTTGCACAAAAGTTACTGATGTAGCACATTCAGCGAAAATCACTGTTGTAGCACATTTGTCACAAAAGTTGAATGATCAAAGAATTATTGCACGACGGCGAAGTCAGCGGAACGGAACAGATCACATTGATGATTTGCTGAAGCTCCTTGCGATGATATGCACGACTTTGAAAAAACACAAGCAATATATATGATTACATCTAGAAATAATTGAAGGGGTAACGTTGTAGCATACGTTTAATGTCCATATTCGTTGTTATTTTTAGTCAGTTCTTCAGAATGCCTTGGATGCACGTGGCTTAGGGTCGTTTGAAAAATCCATTGTCAGTAGCGTGCTCAGTCAAAAGGTCACCACTTTTGGTGGTCGTGTGTGCTTAATGCATGATATAATTAAAAGAAATAAGAATAGACAATCTTCTATAACAAAAAGAATATATAAGTACTAAATTACAATTTAAATTACATTGAAGAGATCAACACAGAGCTCGGAACACAGTTCATGCTACCTTCGCGTACCGTTGTGTGACGAGAAGTCTGAGTGAGTAAAGATGTTGCTTTGCTGCTCCGATTAAGAACTGGATTTTACACGTGGCGCCATCTCATGAATAGAAGTTGAAGTATCTGTCGGAATGCCACATTTACATAAAAATTAATTTTATAACTTTTTCTCTTTTGAAAATCTTCCTTTGAACTGAATAAAATTAAAACAAAAGTGATGTTTTAATTTGATGTTATTCAGATGTTAGACTAGACTACTGAAAAAATTTGGAGAGTGGCAAGGGAAATCATGTATGACAGCTATGAATGAGCATGAAATATTGAGTGTAATATGCTGATGTTCAAAACAAAATGTGCATTACAGAATTTTATTAGAAGATTATAACATCATATACATGGTGAAAATTGGAAGTATACTTACACATATGCGTAAATTCAGAATAAATTTGATTATTTGAAAATGTTAATAGATTTGTAATAGGTTGTGTGTTATTTCTGAAGCTGTAAGATTATTGCATTTTTTTTTTTTTTTTCACGTAGAATTGATGAGAGTACCAGTGAGGTTTCGGGAGATTTTTCTTCACCCTTCAATGGACACAATTTCAACCTCGTAATGAACTGGCCTATGTAACAGCCTACTATGGTACATTACCTGAAAATGTACCAAGCATGCTAAATCAGATTTGTGAACATGCTGTCCACTTGGCTCCCTTTTCTTTAAATAATGACTCTATGAAATGACTACTCTTATCCATAAAAAGAAGGTACAAAAATCACTAATGGTTACAATTTATATAATGACAGTAGATCAGAATATCTCATTCTGCATACTTTTAAATTGTTAAACTTTCATTCCAGATGATGTGTGTCTATATGTTTATCCTAGATTCAGATCACAGTTCATAATTTTTTTCTTTCCTTACGTGAAAACAGGTAATTTTTCATTTTCCTTCCTGATTAGAATGCATACAGTCTTATAAGAACTTGTTTCCATTCTTCATTTCTCCTATAGCAATTTTCTACAGCTTAGTGTGTGCAACATTGCAGTAGTCTTTTATAAAAAAAAAGAGTGTACAATAGTGGCCTAAGTACATAAAGATCAGGATTTTAGAATGCTTGATTTGTCATCTTTCATTTTGTGCCCTACAGAAGTTCTGTGTTGATCTGAGAGACATTGTGTTTTTCATTTTTATGCAATTAGCAATAGATAATGGACATCATTTGTAATAATTATATGTAAATAGCCTTACTCTGGCCTTCATTTCACTGTCATCATTTCAGTAAATCTATTCTACAGTCTTCCAGTTACTCAAACAGATTCTTCTGCAGTGTTCTGTATTTGTTGTCATTCTAGGCACCTAATAATGTATTGTGCCATGAATTGTGGCATGTTGCTGAGACACTGTTCAAACTTATGCATTGTATGTATTCTTGTGTAATGTGTAATAATTATGTTTGCTCCAGTGTTAGCAAAAGGAAACATTTTTCATTTTTGTTTGTTTCCTGTTTCTAACAATATCAGCATTAATTTGCATTTGTAACTGTCTTCTTCTGATGTTTACTGCATATTAAACTTTAATTTTTAAGACTTCAGCATATCATAGGCATACCTACTCCCCTATCTATTTTATGCATTGTAAATGCATAAAATGTCATAGCTGCCAGGAGACTGAATTTTATATTACATCTCTTGGTGTTTTGGTTAACTGAAACTTCTGGCTTTTACTTTTCAGCTTTTATTCAGAAAAACTATTTAGGAAAATGTTTTCCTGCAGTAAAAATGAAACTTTATTGTGCAAATTCCATACTTCCTTGTAATTTTGAGCATAAATTTCTGGTTAAATTTGATTTGACCTGAACTGTTTTAATCTACTATGGACATATATGGAATTTTTCGTGGAGATTCAACCAATCTCTGTCGATTAAAACTTGCATTTAATTTTGTTATCTACTTTATTTATATACTAGTCACTACACTGCCAGGCTTCGTCTGGCTTTTAAATATACCAGAAAAATGCCTAAAGGAAACACCAAACTTTAAATTTAAAAACTGCACAGAATTTTACTCGGCACAACAACTTTATCAAAAAATCAAACAACAACAACAAAAGAAAAATCAGAAATTTCAATACAAATGTATTATATATAAAAAAATTTACAATGAAATAAGCAATATCCCTTAACACAAATATTAATTATTCTAATAAATAAATTAACCAATTTTCAGTTGTAAATTAACAGAAGAACATTAAATTTAGAATATCTATCTTTTCTGTAATTTAGAATAAAAGCTTCTCTTCCTTCAGGATTTTCTCAGGGTAAAAATATGATAAAATAAAATTAACTGAAGGACATAAAATTTAGAATATGTAACTAAATATTAAAATTTAAAATAAAGTAGATAGAACAAACGATAAAAGACCTATGTGGTCAGTTGTTTGTTTCAATTGTCTGTTTTGGTGAAACGCGTGATGGAGTTAGCTTAGTTCGAAATTCATTGAAAAAATTTCCCCTGATGTGCCACAATGAACTTCGAATTAGGCTAATCAACCATTTACCGCTTCTTAATTTTTATTTTATTTTTATTTTTACCTCGATCAATTGATTAGTACTTTTACTATGTTTTAAATATACTTAATTAGTTTAACATATAGCTTGCTATTTTTGTTAACTTTTACTTGTAAATATTCAAATGTTGTATATTTCTCTTTTTACACAATTCATTGCAACTAAATTTTGCTTATGTTGAAGTTTTCACGGAGCCACAGTTTTTTAGCAACTTTTTAGCATGCATACTAAAATTTATCTTCTAATAACTAAATATTAATATATTTTGCGTCAGAAATCATATTATAAATGATTTAGTAACTGTAATCATGCTTTAAAAAGTGAATTTGTAGTTCTTTTGTAAAGATATCATGCATAGTGCCCAGAAACTCCCTTTTTAAAAAAATGTTTAAAAAATATATTGCAGGAACCTGCATATTTCAAGGTTAGCATCTATGAAATCTAGTAGTACTATGCAGTTTTATAATTTTATACTTTTGAACTATTATATTTTGGCAAAATTATCTAGACCTTAAAGATAGATAAATATGTTAGTAATTTTATAATTTTATACTTTTGAACTGTTATATTTTGATAAAATTAACTAGACCTTGAAGATAGATAAATATGGTAGATTTACTTTATTCTTTGTTTCTAAGGGTTTGTAATAGATTATAATTTCTGATCGAGTACATGTTAACCTGTTAATCCTTTTGCTGAATTTTATAGAAGTGTACATTCTACTATTCTAATAGCACAATAAAATTTTTTAAAAGTTAGCATTTCAGAAAACAATTTTCTCTTTGAAAATAATTCCTTTCTGTACATGAAGGTGTTACATAGAATTTCTGGTGATGTACAAAGTTTGATAGAGAAAGGTGATTATTTTTAACAAATCTAAGCATTACTCTTATTTTTCAGACTGTCTCGTATAGCCAGATTATTACTACATGATTTGGGTAGTGCTCTGATTCAGAACCTGAGTTACAGAGGAAGTTGGTACTTGATAACACAGAAAGGTCTTTCTGGCTTCTCACCTTTTGAAGATGTAAACATTCTAAGTGATTTGTTCATTTTTTAATTAATTTTTTTACATAACAATTTGGTTTTCTTTTCTGTATGGTTTAAAAAAATGTGGTCTTATTATTACTTACACAAATTCAAGCCTTAAAAATTGAAGTTAAATTTTATTTCATTTTAAAAATATTGAGTATAAAAATAGTATTTTTTATTTGTGTTATTAACTTTCAGTTTGAAAAAAGGAATAGCAGGTATTGTTTTTGATAACTTACTGAAACATAATTTAATGTTTGTATTCTAAATATGTGTTCCTTGTAAAAAATGCAAATTTACAGTAAATTAAGTTGATGTGTAAAGAGAGATTTTGGAATTCTATTTTTTTTTTTTTTTTCAGCTGTAATTTCTTCTTTTAATAATTGCAAAAGCAGAAAGTATTTTTTAAATATTAAAGAGTTGCTGTAAGCAAATTTACTGACTGTATTTTTTGGTACTCATATATTATCGAAGGACCATGACAATTGTTTAGCATCAAACAAAGAAATTTTGGCAGATATCATGCCAAAGTTGTGCAAATCATTTCTGCGGAATTCTTTTCTTTTTATTATTTTGTTAGGCTCTCCGATTCAACCAGAAGCTCTGTTTAGGAAGTTGTGGGTACAGATTTTCTACAAGTAATTGTTTCACTCTGTTATTGTTTTGCTGGCAATTTCCAGTTTGACCATATTATACATTAATACACAATTTTTTGACACATTTATTAATGCACACTTTTTTAATGATAGGATTTCATAACTTTGGAACATAATTCTCAGCCCACTGTTCTGTAGAAGGCAGGTGCCAAATTTTAATCATTTTTTTCCAAATTATAAATAAAAAAATGCAGCAATAACAGTTAATTTATATCATTGTTCATAAAAATGAAATATACCTTATCAAGAATCAATCAGAGTTGTATCAAATCAAGTCATAGATGTTATGTGTATGTTGTTACATCACTCTCATCCATTACTGGCAATAAATTGTCCAGTAAAGTGATGAATGTATCATGGTTGAAAGGATAAATGTGTTACTACAATATTTTCTAACAATAATTATTCAAACTTATTTCTCAAAAGATAGAATTTTCAACAGTTATGAAGAAAATCACTGCTTAAAAGTATTGATTAATGGAGTTTTAATGAAATTTAAATGTATATGATTTTGTTACTTTCTACTGTATTGAAAAATTGATACCAAAGTATAGTTTCTTGATTTTGTTTTTGGAGGGAGGTGGAATAGAAGATTATTTTGAAATTCAGGCAATTTTTTTGCCATTTTTTAAACAATGTTTAAAAGTCTCAATGTATTCAGTAGCTCTTTAAATTTTCATAAAAAATGAAATTTTGATCAGAATTAGCGACTAAGATCATCTGCTTTAAAGCTGTTGGCCTGTTTTATGGAAGGGCAAATGGGACTCTTGCCTTAGGTTTTTCACTTTAAGGATGACTTTCAAATCTTTTTATAATATTTAAGATATGTAAAGCTTTGCATATTTTTTCCCAGTCCTAAGTTTCATAAATAATTTTCATAAATTTAAAAGCAGGAGGGGGGAAATAAAATAATAAGATAAGATAGGAATAGAATAGTAATAATATATAAGAAATAGAATAATAATAAGAATTATAAGATTATAATTTTCACAGTTTTCTTCAATTTGTCACTCTCTCTCTTTTTTAAGTTCCTAGTTCTGTGCTTTTGTGTGGTTTATCTTAAATAATTAAGGTAATGTTACTTTACAGAAAAAATAAGACTGATTTGAAATGTATAAGCTTATATTTTTTTTCCGCACATAATAAAATTTAAATCATGGAGGGGGAGAAAGACTATAAAGTTCTCTCTTTCTCTTTCTTTTTTGTATGTTTATTTAACTAATTTAAAATAAAAAAATGTCGAGTTATTAGGTTATTTCACAATCTAATTTGTGTAACTTACATTAGTGATATCTGCTTCATTGAAAACAATTACGATAGGGGCATCCTCAGTGTACCGTATATCTCCACTTTTGTAAATAATTTCCTGATTAAAATAATTTTTATTATTCTGGTTCACAAGCTAATTTTCAAAGTTTATTTATTTTTATTTTACAAATGCCAAACATTAGTACACAAGCCATTAGTTCACAGGCTCTCCAGTACATCTTAACAATGTCCTCGTATTGAGAAAGTGCAATACAATTATTTAAATGTTAAAAAATCATAGGCTGATTAGAGTCACACAAAACACAGTTTGGGGAATCTACCCCTCCAAATATGTAGAGGTGGTCTCCTGGACAGTCATGCCCACTCAGACATCTAAATAGAGCTACTGCTGTCTTTCTTGAAAAACTGGGAATGAAAGTTGTCTCTTCTTCTAGAATCCTCCATCACTTATCCATGGTATGTTGAATCATATCCTACTTAAGAATTTTCTTAAGAGTCTGGTTAACAAACAATTTAGTAGTATGAAAAGAAAGTGGTCGACTTATGCATTTCATTATCACAGCTCCTTTCTTAGCCAATGTATCAGCTTTTTCATTGCCCATAATTCCACAGTGTGCTGGAATCCATTGGAAAGAAATTCTGTGTGCCATTGCTTGATTTTGTATTGCATGTTGTTTTGTATTGCAGCCTTCCCCCCCTTTTTTTTTGGTAAAAGATTAAGTCCAGCTGTTCTTTAATTCAATATTTTGTTGCTTTTAGTATCTTCTGTTTTTGAGTAACTTCATAGTTAGAAATTTCAGGCTTTTTGGTTCTATTTATCTATTTAAGTTCTATTTATCCATTTCTGGAACTCTTTCTTTCATTTTTTATCCATTTCTGGAACTCTTTCTTTCATTTTCTGACCCCTTTGCCAAAACTTTAATTGATACCAACATGCCCATGCTATCTGTAAATTTTTAAAACTCAGTGAATCATTATTTTGCTATTTGACTATTTTTGAAGATTTAAACACAGCAGTTTTTTTTGGCATCACGATCATAAAAATGTACTATTTTGCATTTAATAACTTTCATTAAATGATGTGTTATTTTGTAAGTCTTTCTAACATTTAAGTGAAACTGCTGTTATTTTGATAGAAATGAATTGTTGTTTTCATAGCAACTTCAAAAATTTACAAATTTTTTCTTTATTAACTTATACTTAACTAATATAAAGCATTGTATTTTATGTCATTATATTTTAATTCCTAGTTACATCTGGTAGAGAATAGTGGATGGCCTAAACATCATGATGTTCGGTTTTGTGTTCCATTTGAAAGTAAGTGATCTTAGTTTTTTTAATGGCATAGCATTGTTTTCAATTTACCATGCTATAGAATTTAGATGAAGTAATGTTGCAAACGTTTTGTATGGTTTAAACAAAATTGAGCAATAGATTAAGCTTTTTAATTAATTAGAATCATAGATTTATAATTTTTAGAGTGGAATGGGTAAATTCCGTTTTTCAGAATTTAAAAATTATTTTTTAGTAGGTGGAATCGATTTCCAGGTTGGTTCATTTTAATATGTTTTAATTATTATTAAAAGTTCTGTTTGTGCTCAGAATAGTTTTAGTTTTGATTTAATATCACACATTTAAAAGTTATTATGTAAAATCTTATATTTAAAAACATCAAAATCTTGCAAATCATTCTGCACCAGTGCAAAATTTCTTTTATTTATGTATTTAACTCCATTTAAAAAATTTAACTGCATGCTGTAAGTAGATTATATAGATTTTTTTTTATTCAACTTACTAAAGATAAAAGCTAGTTTCTTCATCTGTTTAAATAAATTTGTTTCGCAGATTGTTTCTACTAACTTTTTGCAGTTGTTGAATGAGTACACAGGTGCTTAATATGTTTAAATTATGTTGAAAGAATGAATTTTACATTTTTTACAGTATTTACCATTTTCTAAAAATTTTCATATGCTTGTAACATTATCATCAATGATAATTAAGAAATTATTTCTTTTAGTCAAAGGAACTGTTATTCATCCTGATCCCTTACCATCCAACAATCCTGCAAGAGTTGAATTTTGTGAAAAGCATGATAATTTTCCTATATTCTGTGATGGTAAGTTTGTATTAAAAATTATTTAACTCGAAAATTTTGAAAAGTTAAGTTAATTATGCTTCTTTGAATTAAATTTTAAATTATATTTTAGATAAATCATATATAATTAAGAAATGGCTGGAAAAATTATATGCAAGAAAAAATAAAAAGTGAATTTGCTACAAGAAACATACAGAAATTTTAGTGAAAATCAGATGAAATAATGTTGATGTTTCATGATTAAAAGTTTTGATGTAATAAAACTTTCTTGTTCTATTCATTTCATACTGAGATGAAGTTTCATCTTTCCGCACTTTATTTCAGTGAAGTGAAAATTCAGTTCTTGTCAATAAAATGCCATCTTTGATAATATTAATAAATTTTATTCAGACTTTTGAAAGACAAACATATGACTCCTCCAGCTTAATAAGAACTACTAGTACAAATTTTATATCAGACCTTTAGAACATCTTCTGATGTTGCCATTCCGGCAAAGCATATCTCTGTTCCCTTTATTTATATTTCACGATCTTTACATAACTTTAGTCAGATCTTAGAACATCTTTTTATTCTGATGTTGCCATTCTGGCAAAGCAGCACAACTCTGTTTCTTTTATTTATTATTTATTGTCTTTACAGATGTATTCATTTATTTTGTGCAGTTGTATTTCATTAATTTTTTAAAAAGTATACTTTATCACCAGATATTCATGGCAAAACAATTATTCACATTAAATGTGTTTTAACCTTAATAAGTTTATTACAACATTTTGGTACCGTTATTATTTATATTTTTATTTATTGTTTTATATATTGGTGAATTATATGCTAATTTGCATTGTTTTTTTTTTTTTTTTTTTTTTTTTTTTTGATTTCAGCTGATGTAGTTGATGATCCTTTAGCTGCTTCTCCTGTGTGGAAACAACCATCTGCAATAAATAAAATTTATAATGTCCCTATTATAGTGATGAGTGGTGAGTTAACATTACAATTCTGATAAAATTTTTCCCAATGATTTTATTTCATTAAATTTACTTAGGATATAAGTGATCATTTCATAGTTCTGTTGTGTCAATAATCATTTCACATTCTTTAATTATGTGAGGTTATACCCCAGAATAACAAGAAGACATTATTTATGTTCTTGTAAATTTCTATGTAAGTATATTTAGTTCACAAACTAAGCTGATAGGTTATTAAGTATATTGGTTAATTTATACAGGGTTCTGTTCCCAGTGAATGAATGATGAGATTTTCTGTTAGACTATGTTCTGTTAGACTTATCAATACTACGTGTCCAACCCAATCTCTGAGCCATGCCCAGGTGTTCAACCCCCTGTCCTTACACATCGGAGATGGCTGATTCCTCTGCCCTTTGGTGGCACTGGTCATCAGTTTGCTACCTACCAGTCACATGGGCTGCCCGCCGCCCAAGGACATCAGCCAGAAAACCCGAGGCACCACCCGCAGGCAGAACCCGTGACGCCACCCCAGGCTACTTGAGCCTTGAGCTGTAGGACGGGCCAGACCCACAGGCCGAGTGATAAGTGATCTTTCAAGGGCCTTTAGAACCACTAGGTTTGTTATTTGTATACCCCCGTGGCCAAGACTGCCTAGGTACAGATCCCACCCAGTAGCTTTGCAGAGTTCTCTACATAGAGTTTTCACAGTTGTCTCATATATTATATTACTATGATATAATGTATCATTTAGAAAGTATACATGGAAATCCTTTTTTAGGAGGGGGGAAAGCTATATGAAATAATGAAATGAAAGAAGTAGTCATTTTGTGTAATGGTTCATATAATTTGAATTATCCAGTTAAATCTAAGTATATAAGATTTGTCTGCCTAAACTCCACTCTAATTTTGGTCAAGAATACAGAGTAGGATTTTATAATATTTAATAGACTTCATTAATTAATGCTTGATTTCCTAAAATAAAAAGTGTTAGTTAATTGTAATAATAGTAATAATAAATACTAAAGCTGTTACATTCTGTAGAGCCGATTAAAAAGAATAATAAGAATAATTTCACTGCAGCTTTTTTTGGGGGGTGGGTTGCATTTATATTGATAGAGAGAAAAAAACATTAATGTTTTAAAGCAGCCATAGTGAACCTGAGAGTGCAAATACTTTCTCAGCTATGAAGACTTTTACAGATACACGAATAAATGGATTATAGCAGAAAAGAGCTCAAATATCTGCAAAAAGGGCTCTGAATCAAAATTAATGAAATTGATAGAATGTTATGAGGAGTAACATCCTTCATTATTTAACTCCGAGAAAATGTGTTTTCTTGTGTTTTATTATTGCTCACTGGTTGCAGATTCCTACCTAAAAGAACGCATTGAAAATTGTATTATATGAGGGGTACAATTTTTGGTTATAGATGGTAAAAAAGTATGCAAATACAAAAAGTTAAGGTACTTACGTAATAACGCAACCAGGCCAAAATTTGCATAAATTGTGAAATTTGGCGACCCTACTTACAACAACCCTACGTGTTATACGTAGTTTTATAAAAAGAGCATGTGGAGATTCACAAAATTTTTCTGCATTTTCGTGCAAATTTTTGTAATTTATGAGAAAATAGCAGTGTACATGGATAAAGTCAAGAGTGTGTGCAATGCCATTTTTGTGCAATTCTGGGATGTTTTTTTAAGTAAAAATAAGTCGACGTGTACATGGTTATGGCGAATATGGTTTTCAATTAGTGCAATAGCCAAAAGATTTCCGCCGAAAAAATAATTCTGCAACTTATTCAAATTCAAAACCGGAAGGGTTTAATTGCTATTTTATATTTAAAACAAAATAATATAAAAAACTGTATTAAAAATTATCTGTAATTAATAAATGTACATTTTCTTTCTATTCATACTTTTTTACTCAAACTTACAAATCGCGCCAACCTGGTTGCGATAATACGTAAGTACCAAAGTTAGGAACTATTGTAGTAAAGGAAGACAATGAAAATTGTTAGAAACCCTGTCATTTAAATGACAGGGTTTGTAGCAAGTATACTTAAGTATACAAAAGGAAATAAAAAATACACTGCTTTCCATCTTTATCTTTACACACATAAAAATAATCATATTTCATGAAATAATCAATCAGTCTAATTTATTTTTTCTTGGAATAAGCAGAAGGCTATCCATTTTGGTCAATCAATCATAGGTTGCCATACATTTCTATATTCACTATATTATTTCTTTAAAATCTAGCTGCTTGTGCCGAGAGCCACTTAAAATAGCTACCATAAAAAAGAAAAAGTATGTAATGATACCAATAAGTCCATTTAGTGTCATTTCGTAAAAATAGTGAATATTTCTAATTAGACCGCATAATTTCAATACATCTTTATTTAAATCAATCACATTTAAAAATAGAAAACAATATTAAATAATGTATTTATAGCTTTTAAATCAGTTTATTGTTCAGAAATCTTCCAGATTAAATTTCAATGTCTCTTAGACTTTACTGAATGGCAACACGCTGATGCGGGGAAGATAAAAGTATTTTATATCTAGCCATGGCAATATATTGTTTTCATAGAGCTGTTTTTTAATTAAAATTGAAAGATAAGTATCTTACATTTTTCTTAATGGCAGCAGTATCACATTCTGGAGATAAAAATGTTTTATTTCTAACAGTGTTGCCCCTGCTCTCTTTCAAATCATTTAATTTGTTAGTAAAAAAATTCTTTAAAATTTTAGAAAATAGGAAATGAAAAATAATAAAATAAATTTGAAATTCAAAATTTTAGCTTTTTTTTTTGGCAGGAAGTTCCTGTGGAGAACTGTGCTATTCAAAATTTGATGACTCTAGGTACCATCGTTTTTTCACAATGCAAGGAACATACATACATGTATTCAGATTCTTCATTATTTAATTTCTTAAAAATAATGCAAGACGATAATATTTGGAGGCAACAATTTGAAAACTAATAAGCCATTTATAGTGAACTGACCGAAAATTCCATTTTGAGACTTATAGCCTCTTTTGGGCTAAGAAATGAAAGGCAATGACTATGCAAAAGTCTTGTTTAATGCTATGTATTTCTAAATGAAGTTATGAAATATAGGTTATTTTGACTATTTAGGCACTTAATGACTTTGGTGCTGGTTTGTGGAGTGCATATAAAACGAAGCCTAACTGTTTGCAAGAATCATCTTAACATTCTCGTTCTTTGTGTCTTAATAGCAACAAATGAAAAGTGGAATTAGAATGTCATCATGTTTTGCAAACCATTTATTTCCAAAATACTGTATTAGTAAGAGATGCAATATGATTTGTGTCCTGCAGAAAGAATAACTATGAAGAAATTAAAATCAGTTTATTAAGTAGATTGTTACACTGTTTACTGAGAATTTTCAGATGATTCTTGCAAATAATTAGGCTTCGTTTTATATACATATATAACTGCCTAAATAGTCAAAATAACCTGTATTTCATAACTTCATTTAGAAATACATAGCATTAAACAAGACTTTTGCATACTTAGTGCTTTTCATTTCTTAGCTCAAAAGAGGCTATTAGTCTAAAAATAGAATTTTGGTGGATTCACTATAAATGGCTTATCACTTTTCAAATTGTTGCCTCCAAATATTATCTCCTTGCATTTCTTTTAAGATGTTAAATAATGTATTTATTTTAAGATGTAAATATGTATATATAAGACATCTGAACTCCGATAGCTTATTCTACATTCAATTTCCTGGTAACCAGGCTGATTGTTTGAGATTTTTTTAAATTTTTTGAATGTATGTTATGAATATGAAGTAGTTTCTAGCAGAAAATTCTTTGTAAAAATATCTTCCTGTGGCAGACGGCCTTTGAACACTTTGCATTAAAAAGCAGTTAATCATAGTTAGAGTATCAATTTAGAAGTCAAACAACAAAAATCAGCGTTATATTTGCAAACTTCCACAGGACTAGTTTCAGTGGTTTTACTGTGTAAGGTCCCTCACTTGAAATTCTAATGTTGGAAGTGAGGAACCTAGGAACTGATAAGCGAATAATCGCTAGAGTTCGAAGACAGGAAACAACAAGAGAGAAGGGTAAATAACCCTTTATTAATTCGATAAGATTTAACAAAACTCCGCCTGGGATTGTACAGGCAAAGTCCGCACTTTGGACTTGAACTTAAAAGACTAAGAATTAAACTAAAACTAAGATTAACTAACTAAGTATAGCCAAGCTATCAAGGTTCAATGAGAGTTGGCCCCTTAACCTATTTTACTACGAAGCTTAGCAAGGGCCTGAGTGCAGCCGAGCGTAAAAACAGCTTTGAGAGAGAGAGCGGCCAAAAAGGCAGACGCGCATAGTTCAGAAACTCTGTTTTTCTCTCTGTCTCTAAGTGACTTCGTGGTTTAAATACCACTCCTTCTCATTAAATATTCAGCAAATTCCAAACTACGTTCTGGCCGGAAGTAGTAAGTTGAAGTTAAGAATTTTACAGGAAAGGAACTTTAACTTAAAATTTAACTGTTAATAAAATTAACATAATTCTTACAACTGAACCATCATCCTCAGCTGTGTTTTTGTTGTTTGATTTATAAAGTAATACTTATTCGGCATGTTATTTTATCTTAATCATAGTGAGTGTCTATTTTTGCTTCTGAGCATGTTAGACACAAATTTCATATTTTTCCAAACTAAACAGAGAGTTATTTTAGAAGTCAAACAACAAAAATTAGCATTATATTTGCAAATTTTCCAGTAGTAGTTTCGATGGTTTAACTATCAAACCACCTTCCTCAGCTGCTAAAGTGCAAAACAATTTTTGTTGTTTGACCTCCAAAATAATCATTGTTCCGCAAGTTATTTTAACTTAAATAGAGAGTGCTTCAAATCTTTGAAAATGTTTGCTGATCATCTTCAGTTTTTATAGAGAAATTCTTTATTTTCCTGTGAGGGAAGCTGCAATGTTTTAAGTTGATAGCATGTTGTTACTTTCCTGTTCAAAGACCACTTTTGCATGTCTAACATAGCTCTAACATGTCTCAATTATAAGCTGAGAAAAAATTTAAATAGAAAAGATTTAAATAGAATTTTACTGTATTATTGCAATGAACATACATTTCTGTTAAAGATTTCACTTCAAGACAAGTATATTCTTATCTGAAGATTGTTTAAGAATAGTTTTAATATATATTGTAAATTTAAACAATGGAGAATTTTCTGCATTACATATTTTATTACAGGTGACAATATACAGTTTTTGCCTTTAACTCTAGAAACTTTAGTGAGACAGCCTGGCATAAAACCTTCCCTTGTTATTGTAAGTAGAATTTAATTTTTTTTATTAATATTAGCATTAATATTTCATTACTTGATATTTACATTGTAATAGTAAATTGTGATGTTCATGCAAGCAGTACAAATTAAAAATTAAAGCAATAGTTCAAATTTTTATTATATAGGTATATCATCTGTCTAAAAATATGATGGTTCAAAACTTATCCGATTTATTTGGATATATGGCAGAAGAACTGTCACCAATTTCCTACTGTGGTAATAAGAATTTTTATATCTTGAAATGTGATTTTTTCATTAAAATAATGCTGTATTGTAGAGCATTTTAAAAGTATTATAAATGTCTTTGTATGATTGAAAATTTTGAATTCCATTTGAATTTTACTTAAATTTCAGAACGTGTTGCTGAAGCTTTTGAAATTACCAATCTGCTTTTTCCAGAGGCTGTGAGTCTTTAATTCTATGATAATTTTTGACATTTTAATTCAAAAAGTAATTACAGAATAGTATTGTGGCATTTTAAAGATTTTTTTTTGTGTGTGTGTGTCAATGTGTGTTAATACAGGGTTCGTAGCGGTCCTTATAAGTCCTTATATTTGAAAATAAAATATAAAGGCCCTTATAGGTGCTTACTTATTCTTTAAAGCCCTTTTTCTTTTGTTTTTAGTGCTTATTTTTTGCTTTTAGTGCTTTTTTTTTTAATGAACACGCTATTTTTCCCCGTATCTAAGCCGAAGCTAAATAAACAACTTTTCTTCCTAATATGGAATGTCAGATGGTGAATCATACTCCCGGAAATAGCTTTTCCCCCTTTCTCTGCATTAACATAACCTTTGGTGTGCACGAAGAGTACAGACAGGTGCCCCTCGTTGGTCAAAGAATTGCGAAAGCAGTAGAAAATTCCGGTACATTCGGCATTCTTTTCCGCCCACCCAAACACTAAACATGTTTGAATTTCTATCAAGATCTTAATAATTTGCATTCTCATTCCGCTTGGTCAGTTCATATTCGTGTTTATTATGATCGTTATGCTTATATTATGAGCATATGTATGAATGCTTATAATAACATAGTTGCAGTAACTGCTGAAGTATAGTAAACTTCCAAAAATGATTGTGTTTTAACACAGATTAGCTTTCTAAGGAATAATATTCGGAATGGCTTAAATAAAGGGAAAGTAATCGAATAATCAGAATAATTTAATTTTTTTGGCCAATGCATTATACAGTACGAAGATTAGGAGGTTCTCCCCTTTCTCCACAAAATCTCGAATATTGAAACTGTTGCTGCAAAACAAGCAACAGACCTTCCCCATTTTTTTTTTTTTTTTTTTTTTCCAGTTTCCAATCCGGATTGAATATGACTAAAAGTTCTGCGGTCTACCAACACAAGCGAAGAATGATTCTATTCCGGAAATTTAACACCGTCTGTTGAAAATTGGAATGAAAAACACCCCAGTTATTCAGTTCTTTATTCTTCCACTACCGGCAGCTGTTGATTCCGATTGCATAATATCACGCAGGGAAGAATTACGGCACACATATTGCACAATAACGTTTGCGCTATTTTGCAGAGATAATTAATTTTGATGTTCTGTCCGAGATTTGTTTATGAACACTTAAAAGAGTTTTACTGTGCTTGCTAAGCAGAATATTTTTTAGTTCCGTTGGTTTATTTTTAAATGATGCACATATTGAAATGTCAAAAGCATTTATTTAGTGGAAAAATCTAAAGAGCGGCTACAGTCTACCCTCCGCTCCTCTTTTTCAAGTTACGCTCGACTGTCCGAATATTCGCCAATTTCCAAGTATGCGGGTTAGTTAAGCTTTTACTGTTAAAGGATGACGCATGAAGCAAATTTCTGTCTTCTGATTTCAGAAATGTTCCTCTTTTTTACTTAAATTACTTTGCTTGCAATATCTGTTAAGGGAAAACTGACATACAATGAAAATTTAGAAAATGTTCAGAATTTAGATTTTTAAATTATTAAATATCAATATGAGTGGAAAAATAAATTGTATTTATTATTAGGTTTCCAAAGCGAATACAATAAATATGCCTTATTATTATTTATTTTCTCTATTTTTGAACTGAAATTTCATCATTAAATCTTGTTGTAATATAGTTTAGTCCTGCATAGTTTTTTTTTCTCTCATTGTAAACTAGTTCTGTAAATTGAACTGTTTATTTAAAAAAAAAAAAAAAAATCTGAAATTTTTCAGATTTTAAATTACGTCCAAAGGGGCGTTTTTTTTAAACGTTTTTGAGTGTGTTACCTTTAATTTATTAATATCATGTTTCTTTGCACTTAAAACCATAAAAATTCAGTTCCAAGAGCAATATCGCAAAATAATGTTAAATTAAGCATATCTTTAGAATTTCCGATATACACCACAAGTCTCGCGAGCTGGAGATAAAAGTATTTTTTTTCTATATAACGTTGCCATTTCTCGCTTTTAAAGCATTGAGTTTGTAAATCAAAAATTCGTTTAAAGTTTTACAAAATATAAAATCTATAATAAAACAAATTCCAAATTTGGGATTTCAGATGCCCATATTCGCAGTAGGATTTTTTCGTCGTCATTCAAAATTCGATGGCTCTATGTACCATTGTTTATCACAATGCGAGAAATAGACAATCATTTATGCAGATTTTTCATTATTTAATTTCTTCAAATATAATGCAGGACTCTAACATTTTGTGGCAACAGTTTGAAAAGTGAACCGACGTTTATGAGTCCGACGCAAAATGCCAAAACGAAAGCAATAGTCCTTCGGGACTGAAATCCCTTTGGTCTAAAAAAAAAAAAAGTAATTATTTTCCATGGTTGAGGTAATGCTTTTTCTCTCTTAATAAATACTGCATTTCTCATATTTTAAATTACAAGTCTAATTTTTAAGGTTATGCAGTTGTGTATAATGTAATTAGACAGGTGCTTATTTTTTTTCTTAAAATGTGCTTGAAAAGTGCTTATAGGTGCTTATTTTTTAAACTAAAATATGGATATGAACCCTGTAATAGAATAAATTTAAAGTTGCTTATTTATAATTTTATGATGGGGTTTATAACTAGACGATGTTCAAGTTCTTAACAATATTTATTTTTTGAGCTGAGCTTATGTTTTGACTCCTCAAATCTTTTATCATTTGTAATAAGTACATATATTAAAAATTGAAAAAAAAAATCTACTCTATGTGTAATATTTAATAACAAAAATATACCATTACAATAATTTTATACAATGTCCTGCTGTATACTTATCCTACTTATGCTATATTCTATTGGTTTATAAATAATTGAAAAAATCAGATAAGTTCTTTTCATGTAAGCACATCAGATTTTGCTGTACACTACTGTTATGAATTCCTGAGAACCTTCTGAGTATTACCTTCGGTACAGTCAAGCATACTTACCTACAAAGAATTAATAAATGCTGTGTAACTACATGTACACTCACATGTTCTATTACACTCACCGTGTTTACTTAAAGAACTTGTATGGTAGATATAAAAGCAAAACTTACTTTCTTCCACACTGAAAGTTGAGTAGTCACTACTTTTGCAATAGGCAAAAGAAATTTAAGGAAAAATTATATTAAATCTCAAGTAATACTAAGGTTAATATTTTCCTGATTTGATAAAGCGGGTTATATTATTAAACAAATGTCAGACTATTGACAAGTCATTAGGCATCGAGCTCTCTGGTACCTTTTAACAATACCATCCAAATTATTTAATGCAGAGCATTTATCCAAATTCACACAGAACTCATGCCTTGTCCAAAGTCATACAGAACTCATGCCTTGTCCAAGGTCATACAGAATTCATGCCTTGTTCAAAGTCACAGAAGGCATTCAAGTGAATAGGTTAATAAATCAAACAAATAGGCACTAAGGCAATCTTGTCCAATCAAAAGTCTAAATTTGGCCACAGTAGCAGCACGGGATGAGTCCAGGACACTGTGAGTACCACAAAGCACACTCCAGGGCTTAACACCAGCAGTATGGGAAGCCACATGATGAAATGATTGCTTGAAAATCTCTGTAAAACTTTTGGAGAACAACAGTTCTCTTATTTTGCCAAAAGGACCACCATCTTGTTTCCATAGGGACCACAGTGTGATAGTACACACTGGAAAGCAACCTTTCCCTAAATCCCTTTCAGAAGGTCCTTGTAACTCTATATATAGGAAGCTCCATTCTCCTAGTTGCTTGTCAAAGCCTGGAGAATAGAGATGGAACCTGAAAAAATCACAGCCTTCTCTAAAGGGAAAAGACGGATAGCTAGTTGCTGCAGGGCTACATAAATAACTTCCAGTTCACCAAAGTGAGTTGTAAATGAGCCTAACTTGTAGGTGAAATGAAAAAAAAAAAAAAAAAAAAAAGATCACTAAAAACACCAGCATCGAGAGCCTGAGCAAAATCCAAAAGAGATCTATCAATGTTTATATGAAGCCACTCATCAGAGGAAAATGAATGTCAATAGTTTCTAAGGCAATAGCACAGAGTGCAGTAGGACAAAGGTCACATTTTCTCACATTCAGAACTAAGTCCGATTTGACATCAAGTACCATGTATTCCAGTGGACTCACAAGAGATAGTAGTTCATCATCAATAGCATTATAGTGGGCGTTTTAACAAATGCGTTGGGTGAAACCCCCCTGAGGCTTTAGATTATGTGTTCTGCCACTGTTGTATTCACACCAGAAAGGTTTATTTAAGGTTTATTTGAGAGTCTATAATTGTAAAAAGAATAGCTGCATTTTTCTGAATTAAATTATCCATTGGCTGTTGGTCACAAAGTAGTTGCATAGCAAGCACAGGAATAGTCTTTAACTTCCTTCAGTGATTATGCATAGCACCTGGTTTTGAAAAGCATCAAGGAGTTTTAAGACTTTATCCGAGGCAGAGATCAACACTTTATTGCAATAACTCAGAACCCGCTGAATATATAACTTGTAGGGTGTATTCCGGGTAGTCCTACTCCACCCCCATTTAACTCCTGCCAACCTTTTAAGAATGGGGAGTTTGTTCTTTGCCCTTAACATGATATGCTTAGTGTGCTTCGTCCATTTTAATTTGCCATCAATGATGCAATCCAGATAGGTTGTTGTTACTTTAACTACTAATGCTCACTTGTCTGAGCTATAGTCAGCTCAAGCTATAGCCATGAAAATCCTCATGGCAAGGAGTGCAAGTTAACACCTGTTGTTGATAACAGCCTCGAGGACTTTATAGGTGACTGTGTGATTTAACTCAGTTCCGTCCCCAATTTTGATGAAGAGCATCCCAGGGAGACAGGTCCAAACATATCCCATCCCTCTTCCCCTACCAACCTCTCGAGATGATTTTTGACTCACCGCACATTTAGAGTGCCCTCGTGCCCCACAGGTACTATACATCTACCAACATCCATGCCTTCTCCAGAATTCGAACCCAGGCCCTTCGGCACAGCAGTCAGAAATGCTAACTACTATACCGGTTGGGCAGCATCCAGATAAGTTGAAACATCATTATGTTGCAAAACAGTATCCCTTTAAAAAAGTTGAGGTGCGAAGGGTTGCCCGTTTAAAGTAAAGAATTGGGAAGTAGTGTTTACGTTCCTCGTATTAGAATGGCGCCAAAATGGATGAAGTAGTTTTGATTTTAAATATCCTTAATAAATCCAACCACTCTCAGTCTATTCAAACCAAACTGCATACATACATTTAATAATATAACATTCACACGTAAACATTTAGTAATAGTTCAGCAATACAGATAAGCTTTACAATAAGAATTACAACAGTTATAAGTCAGCTACGTTTTTAGCGACCGAATTCTATAAACGACAAATCTCAAAAGCATGTTACCAACAGAGGGCAACGAAAAGTGGAAATTAATTCGATAGGCGTGTAAGTAAACAAGTAGTGTTCCCTAAATTTATTATCATATTACTTTCCATACACCACCAATCCAATCTTTCAAGTGTCAAATTCAGGATGTTATTTAACCTGACTTTCTTTTTTAATGTGTAACACTACATAGCAGGTCATCCACAAAAAGAACTATATCAAACAGCCCAATTGAGGTCAAGGTATCGCGTAAATCATTAATAAAGGCATTGAATAAAGTATGACTAATATAAGTACCCTCTGGCAAGCCAGTTTCGTTGTGTTTAAAACTAGGCCTGCAATTTCAAAACAAGTGGGAAGAAAGTGCTGGAAAAGAAAATTCCTAATCCATGAAACCATACTGTTGCACACATTCAGGGTCTGTAATTTTAAGATACATACGAGTTGCCAAACACTATCAAAAGCAGCCTCAAAATTCACAAAAACAGCTAGAATACAGCATCTCTGGGCTAGGGCATCCTTGATAGACTGGCTTAAAAAAGTAACTTGTTGGCTTAATAATTGACATTTTCTAAATCTAGCATGCATTGGGGTGTCAAAAGGTTATAATTTTCAAGATACAAGTATAGATGAGACTTGATCATTCTTTCCGTGATCTTAGACAAAACACTTGTCAGTGAGATAGGGCGGTAGTTGTTTAAATCATCAAGTGGTTTGTACATTTTATGTATAGGTACAATAATTGCTTTTTTCCAAATCACAGGAACACCAGAATCGTTAAATAGGTGGGTAATAGCTACTGGTGATATACTTTTGAAACTTTCAATATAATTGTTACTTTTGTAATATAATTGTTAATTTGATGTATTGATTTGCTAATATAACTGTTACTTTGATATAATTGTTGCTGTATTTTGTTGTAAGTAAACATGTCTGTATTTTAAACCTTTTGAAAACTGAAGAAATACGGTAATTGGTAATTAATTTAAATGGTATATTGAAATAATAATAATTTTTCCTTCTTAAAAGTGGCATATTTTATGACATATAGTTCTAGTAATTTTGTGAATAAATTTGTGTGTAATAGGCTAGAAAGAGTAGAGTATAAAATGCTTAGAAAATATTGTAGGATAATGGTATCAAAGTCTATTCAAAATAGGTTAGGTTATTTAATTACGGCAAAGCCTCAAGGGCTATCTGCCTAAGGGGAGGGATGCCTTCGTGGAGGACTTTCTAAGGGAAACTGGCTCATATACACATTACACATGGGGAAAACCACGAAAATGCCCATGCAGCCAGCCCGTTCGCAAGATTCGAACCTCGGACCGAACTGCCAGTATTCAGCGACTTTACCGCTCGGCCACTGGTGGGCCCTATTCGAAATAGGAATTATTATGGCTTCTACTGTATTTTTGCTTTTATTTTTGTATACTCATGTGTATGAATTTTATTTGAAAGTTTTTTTCTATTTGTCTATGTTACATGCTATTTGAAAAGTTATGAAACTTGTATAAATCAGATTATTTTTACAGTCAGAGGTGATATTTATTGGAGAAAATGCAGTTTTGGCTCCAGATTTCCTTTTTTACATGGGGCAACTATTATCCATACTTCATATGGATCAAACAATTTTATCTGTATCAGCACTGAATGAAAATGGTATGTATTTATTACCTTTAGTGTCTGTAATGTCTATTAATTGAAACAAAGTTTAGCTTGGGAAGCAAAAAATATTAGAATATTTTCTTTTAGTTTTATGATGTAGAATTTTTCGTGTTTAAGGAAGGTGATTGAAGATGTGTGCAAATAGAACCTTTCACTAATATGCATAAATGCTATGCTAAATCTAAAATTAAGAAATATCAATTTTTTAATATGGATTGCATCCAGAAGTTTTTGTGCAGAAAATGTGCACTTGAAAATTGAGTATTGAAACAGAGTTGTTATACCAATGAGTATCTCATGGTGATGTGCATAATCATATTATAATTTACAAGCAATTAGATATTAACAGATCAGTTGAAAAACTTGTGTTTTGAATTTGTTCTTCCTCTTCTTCCTGTACCATCTATAATAGGTACAATCGATCACAATTTTGATGAATTATTAACTAATGAATGGATAGATCTATGTCATTTTATGTGTATAAAAATCAACAAATGATTACCTTTGTGAAATTTATGAGTTTCCTGATTCAAAATACATGCAATTTCATGTTTTTGAGTTTGTGGATAAGCATACTTTTAAATATAAATTTAAAGCATATATATATATATATATAAGCATATTTTTAAATCAGTTTGTTTTATAATAACATTTCACTGTACGTAAAAACAAATTTCATTTTACTAGATTATGTAATTGAAAACTGAAGGTTTATTTTATTCCATTGTGTAGCGTATAAGGTTTATTTCCTTGCAAACTTGAATCTTAACCTGCAATTCCCATATATTCTTACTGATTTTTTATGTGCAAGAATTTCAAAATTTCTCAGGATTCCATAGGAACATAAAACTATTAGATTTATTCACAATATTTCATGAAAAAAGTTTGAATTAAGTTACCATACTTTGAAGTTATGATAATCAGTAAAAGATATTCTTCTATTGCATGACAAAAAGCCAATCATTTTTAGTAAAGTTAAAAGGAATTCTTTATTGCTGGTCAACTAGCAATCTAATTTAACTTTTAAATTTGAAATACTGTATTACTATATGGCTAAATAATGAGCTAAATAAGTGAAAGAAAATGAGCAAAACATTCCTCATATATTTTCACAGAAAGGATCAAGATGCTGTAGAAAAAATTATAAGAAAATTTGTTGATAGTGATGCAATTCATTTTAGATGCAACTATTTTTTTTTAACTTTATATGATGGGGCTTTATTAGGTCAAAGCTTATCTGTTTCTGTAAAGCTAGTATTTGAGTGAATGCTGCATTGAGGTATAATATGGTTCTGTGTATTTTAAGCAAAATTATTTTAGTCAGAGAAAAGGACTGTATTGTTCTAGAAAAGTGATTTAAAATTCAATTGTTAGTAATTTTAATCTTAAGTTGATATCTGAATTTGAAGTTAATTTCCTTTATGTCTTGTGGTCTTAATTGTTGTAATATGCTCAGAAAGAATTTTTAGTTGAAAAGAACTTTCTTGTTAATTCTAAATGTAAGTTTATAAAAGAAACGTGAGTGATTATTTCATTTATTTACTCATTAATGGAGGATGCTTTAGAAGTAATCATTTAAAAAAGTGTAATATATATCTTTCAAGATCTGTTATAGCTATTAAATTCTATGTTTGGTGATAATTTCTTTAAAAATATCCTCATATACTACTCTTTCAGTTACAATGAAATATCATAGTGACTGTACATTTTTAATATAAAAGTTAAATTTATAATTATCCATTTTTGTTTCAGAATTTTTCACATGTTTGTTAATTTTAATTGATAATTTTAAGTTATTAAATTTTCATTATTTGTGGATTTCAGTTTGAATTGAATTTATCTTATGAAGTATTTCTGCAAACTAAGTAAAATTAAAGGAAAATCAAACATTGAAATAATAATAAATAATAATAATAAATAAACATAAAAATAACAATAAATTAATAATAAATTCCTTTATTTTTTTATTTTATTTATTTATTTATCTAAAAATAAATAGAATGTTGCATATCATAAAGAAGAAGAATAAAATATGAAGATATTTATTTCATGTATTAAATAGTTTATTTAATATGTTAAATAATGTAGACTCTAACTTGTTTAGGGAGCATAAAATGTAGATCCTACTGAAGACAAGATAGCAGATTCTCGCTATGTCTTAAAAAAAGCAGTTGACTGCCATTGAAGTTAATAATAACCTTTTTATTTTAATTAATTGAACAGAATATGCACTCACTCAGTGCCTACAATTTAACCACCAGTTGTGGCTAAGTAATTTAAACACAAACAATATGTACATTTGGAATGAATTAAATTTTAACTGCATGACTGGCTACTACTTCAATCTAAATCTGCTTTATCAGCTGCACAGAGAAAAGCCGCGTCTAGAATATGAATATAAATTAAAGTAAGTGGCTAGTACAAAATATTCAGCTTCAGTGTTACTTTCAAACACGTGACTAATTATTATACTGCTAACTAACTATTATACTATTAACTACTAACTTTTATACTGCTTATATATTATTATATCTTAAATTCTGCTACTTAGATATTGTTTCCGAACTCATTGATATGATATTTGCATATATATCATTTAAATTTACATTCTGGCAAGACATTGAAATCAAAAGGGAAAAGAAAATTTCTTAAAATAAAAATAATTGATTAGTACCCTCCCCCCCCCCCCCCCCGAGAAAAAAGGGATCTTTACAATAAGGAATTTTCATTTTGGGATAACCTTTTCATATATTTATTATGATTTTTAATGCATTAAATTGTAATGTATATTATAACTTTATTAAGTACTATTTTATTTGTGTACAGTGCAGTTATTCATATTTTTCTTTCCATTTAAAAAAAAGAAATGATGTCTATTAAAATAAAGATATGTTTATTTTAAAATGTAAATTCCGTATTACTTATGTAATATGTGATAAGGTGATAATTATATTTATATTTAATTTTTTTTTCTGTGTATTCTTGCCTAGGTTTTAAAAGTGTGTCAGGTGATCCATCACTCTCATATCGGGCTGAATCATTCTCTAGTTTAGCTGTGCTGGTTCGAAAAAATTTTTTCCAGCGTTCCTGGTGTAAGAAACAGTATGTTTTTATTCATAACTTTTTATCTGTTATTAGTAACATAAAAATTAATAAAAGTAAAACTGCTTTATTGAAATACCACTTTTTTTCAATATGTTTTTCAACTCCTCATTTATAAATTGTAAAATAGATAAAAATTAATGCAATTATTATTGTTTATTCATTTTTTAAAGTGTTATTATCTTTTTTTTTATCACTTAAAAAGTACAGCTGCGAATAGATATTTTAAAACCAGTTTTGCTGGACTGCATATTTCTTAAAAGGTCATAGAATTTTTCATATATTTTATGATGATTAGCCAAAATTATTATTATTATTATTATTATATACAGCTTTTAGCTATCTTGAGAAGATTTTAAGAACTGCAGAGTTAAAACATTGTTTTATTTCAAAACAGACATTTTGCACAATAATTTATTTTTATTTCTTAAATACTAAACCTATTAATTTGGAATAATATTAATTTAGAAGTCAAGCAAACAAACAAACAAACAAACAAACAAATATCAGCATTATATTTGCAAATTTTCACAGGACTAGTTTCAGTGGTTTTACCAACCATCATCCTCAGGTGCCAAAGCGCAAATGAAAGAATGGCTGGTCAGGAGTTAAGCTACTGGCACCATCAAGTGATGAAATGAGAACTGAAACATAATTTCCTTAAAGGCTGAAAGCAAAGATGAATTTGAATTAGGGTCATTAACTAGAACAGAAAGACTTTTTTGATTCACCAATGGAGGATGTTTTCTAAATAATTTTGGCTGCAGAAAAATTGAAAGTGTGATTTTTGGACCAACAATGCTGGGAAACAGAGGACTTCTGTGTTTCCTTTTTCCTAACATATGCCTCATGTTCCATAACACAAAATTTCAAGGCTGTCTTAGTTTGACCAATGTAAATCAAACCACAGCGAGGAATCCTGTAAATACCCCAGAAATTAATTCATATCTGGAATACTTGTTTAGCATGTTATTTTATCTTAATATTATTGATTATTTGACTGTGAATTTTAAAATTAAAATGCTCCTTAATTAATTATTGTGATATTAAGGAAATTCACATTTTTTTTACATTAAATACCGCTTTTCATAAATTTGTAAACTTTAAATTCTTATCTTTTTTAGGGGGCAATATACTATTCTTTTACAACATTTTAACCATGCTTATTGCTCATGCTTCTACTCATGCACATGTCTATATCCATGTACATTTTACTACTATAAATTTTGCATCCTTCTTTTCCTAGCATATTTTTGAGAAAAAATACAAAAATTTTCTTATGAAAATCCTAGTACTTTTATACTTCTATACTTCTAGCAAAAAATACACTAGATATATTAGATGGAACCACCCAATTTAATGAGTGAAGACGTTTTTTTTTAACACGTTGGCTGCTGCACGCATTTTACTTGGTTTTAACCCCATGGCGCCAATATGATTTTTTTATTATACGGTGTATATTATGTGCAAGTATTATCTACGGAAGATAAGATCAGTTATATAAATATGTTTAATGTATTTTTTGTGACGGGGGTCACCGTTGACCCCCGAGGCACTGTAGATAATTTTTGCGATTTATTAATCTTCAAACCATTATAGTAACAATGGCATTATTTAAAAATCTGTCAGTATCGATATTTACTCTAATTATGTATTTTTACTATTGGTTGCGTCGCCGGTCACTGGAGAACCCCCCCGACACTGTAGCCAAGTGCCGGCCACCGGTGACCCCCTCGGCAGTCAATATGGTAAGAAAGATGAATATATATGGCTGTAATTTTTGGATTAATTTCAAACTTACAAACATTTAATACCTTTGGGAGCTTTTCAAAGAGCATATTTAAATATTTTACTCTGGAGGGTTGGAAGTAAACATTACTTGGTATAAAATACAATGTTTGAACTTGAAAACTAGCAGTGAAAGGATCGTAAACAAATATGAATTAACTTTCCTGATTTCATTGGAGAAGAAGTTAAAAAAAAAGTACGAGAGTTTCCATTATTTTAAATGGTTCTGATTATGATTTAATTTATCATGATGCTGAAAGTGATAATGAATCTGTACCTTTTTGGCAATGATTCACCAGAAAAAAATTAGGAATTAATTGTTTAATTTAATATTACAAACTAATTATTTAAAAATTATGTAATATTAAATTAAATTAGTCCTTTTTTTTTTAAGAATGTCCATTGAGTTTTTATAAATATCAGCAACTAATCATTAATTTAATTTAATTTTTATTTATTAAAATAAACATGTCTGGAATGGAAAAATTAATTAAATTAGTTTAATAAAAAATAATTCAGAAATTATTCCATTTCTTTTCATTTTTGTTTTGTGAAAAAATTTTTAAATTGGGAAGAATGTGTGAAAATTTTAAAATATTAAATCTTTCTTAGAGGAAATCATGACTTAGTTAAATCAAGGTACTCTGAAATAACAATTAATGCTATTTTAAAATAAATGAATGTTTTTTCTAATGTGATTTTAGATTACTAGAAAACCTTAAGAGTGCATGACGAAATTTGGTACAATGCACTCTTACTTTTAGCTATTTTCATCAAATTTGATTTGTCTGTATTTAGCTAGAGACAAAAATAGGCAATTTTTCTGATGTATTAACTTTATAATATTTGTAAACCATGCATTTATGTTTGTTTGTTACATATGTATTAAATGTATCTCTTTTCTACAAGCATATTGACTCTTAATTATTGTTGTGTGTTAGTGTTGGGGAACATACAGTCACACACTCATATGTACAGTTTTCCTTATCCATGTTTCTGAACAGGTGAGGGAAAAATTGCTTTAACATTTGTAAGCTATAGGCTAAAAAATTCTGAAGACTCAGGTGCTAAACACAAATGGGAACAGATGCCTGGGCTGAAACCACATCCTATATATAATTATATAATGCGTGGAGAAAGAGCATAACTTTCCTGCCATAACGTAGGGGGATATTGAGAATTAAAAATTCTCAATGCACATAGATAAAACTTTGCATAAACAAACAAAGCTACTTTAGTGAGAAGTCAGTCGAGAAAGCAGTTAGACTGCTGCTGATCTAAAAGAGAAAGAGAAAGAGCAGATTAATTTGTAGGGAGACTGAGAGTTTTGCTGCTATGCACTATCTGCATTGCTATTGGTTCATCTTGGATCACATGCATTACTTTGCTTAATTTTCAGATTTGGCAAATTCGATGAGCAACATCGTTGCCTGAAAGCCAGTTTGAAATTTTCCTGCTGAGTTTTTCTCGGTTTTAATTTTTCTGAGGAAGGAGATGATGGAGGCATTAATTTTTTTCAAATTTAAGCCAGGCTATTGCACAGTTTATCTCTTCCGGTGAGGGAGTGATTTTTCCTTTAAGTTTTTTGCTGTACATGACTTGAAGTATATTTTTCTGAACTGGATTAGGAGCTGTTTTTGTGCTGGGGAAATTTTCTTCTGTAAATTCGGAAGCTTTAGGTTGAGGTTTGAAATTTTTCCTCTTGAATTTTTTCTTATATTCGCTACACCCTCTGTAGCTGCTCACATGGTTTTGTCCTCAAAAAATACATTTTGGTTTGTCTTCAGGTTACATAATGCACTAGTTGCTACGGTGTTGAGTCCCGCACTTCACGCTTCTCACGGGGTTGTTGCAACAGAACTGGGAATGGCCACATTGCTGACAGCGAAAACATTGTGCTGGTCTTCTCTCGGCTTAAATTTTTCTATTACTACGTTTAAACTAAACATATTATTTAATTGATGTGTCATGCTTCCTTCGTTGCTTTTCCTCAGTTCAAGCAGGAATATCAGCAGTTTAGTAATTTTTCATTTGTGGTTTCTGTTGAATTGTGTGACTTTCGTGATGGGATACTTCCTTGATGATGATGGCTTCTTCCTTTGCAGAGGTGGGGAGGTTCTTCAGTCTTACTTGTGATGGCTTTTCACAATTGTATTGATATGAGTGAAATGAGATTTTTTTATCTAGCAGGAGTTGGTTCATTTTACTATCATCATTCAGGTTTTTCTTAAAAACAAAAAGAGATTTTGCTCTCATCTGGCTTTCACAGGGCTCAGAAAAAGTTTTCTTGAACATTTCGTCTAACATCATCCAATCACTTTCTTCATGGGAAAAATTCTGAAGTGACAGCACTCCCTATCATAGCTAAAATTTAATTGCTCAAGCATATGCAGTAATATCTTTTCACTGTTCTTGTTTCAGGTTGATATAATTAAACACAGGGAAGAAAAATGTTGATTATGTAATCTTATTTATATTCTCAGGTTGCAAGACCCCCCCCCCCCCCCGAAAAAAAAAAAAAAAAACTCATCTCATCAACTTTGTTGCTGAGCAGTGAGTTCAGCCTTTATAAAAGGCATAATAGGGAGTCTCAGCTATCAGTTATTAAAGAGTGTTTGACTTAATCTTTATTTCTGTAATTCTCTTTTTTAAATTTCTGCTATTTTTTCTTGAATTCACTTTCATATCATTAGTAACATGTTATCTTAATTCTTTTGCTCATGATATTTCTTATTTATCACAGTAAGGTGCAGTAATTTTTTTCAGCTTAATTGGATTTGTTAAATAAAATATGTATAATACGTTAGTGATTTTTCTTAAATGTAATGATATGTTAATTGTAAACCAGATTTAGTTTAAATTATTAAAAAATAGATTGATATCTGTATTCTTTGGTAATTATCCTGAATATTTTTTTATTTAGATTGTGCACAGTTAATCTTTTTTATTGATATTATTAAAAATCTATTTTCTTTTAGGTATTTGATTGATCCTCTGTACATTTCTTCAAAAATAGTTGGAGACAGTTTGATACCGGATGTATCCCGTGTTGCTTTAGCTGCTCCTATGAAAAGCAAACATGCAAATCAAGATGCATCACATATTTTCATGTCACATGATAGAACTATTACGTAGTATGTTGTGCAATTTCATGAATTAATGTTAAAAGTTTACTTTTAAAAATATTCTCATGTACTGAGTTGTGAATAAGTATCTTTTTTATAGTAGACTGTAACTATTTTCTTCCAACATGTAGGATTTATTTAGTTCCAGTATTAACACAGTTAAACTGTACTGTAATAAACTTTTAAGAGACTGGATTTTTAGTTCAGATCCACAAAAGAAAATGGTTTATATCATAAAAAGTTATTTTTGATTGTGTTGATTAGTTGATTAGTGAAATGTAAATAATTTTTAGATCGAACAGCTATTAAGAGATGAGAATAACAATTCTAATTTAATCTTTAGAAAATAATTTATATTGAGGATTAATTGCAATCAATATTATTATTTTTCAGTTTCACCAAGTAATAGTGTTTATACATGATAAATTCAATCATGCCTTGGTTCAGACTCTTGCAATACATATCATGGTGCAGTTAGATTGTACAGTCAAATACCGAAAATCCGCCGACCTGAAATCCGCCAACTCCTAAAATCCACGTTGCCCCTCAAAATATAAACATTCAGTTTATAGGTTCTGGAATCCGCAACCTTGAGTATGAAATATTGAAGAAAAATATTTACTGAATAGTGATGACGTAATTACTGAATAATAATGAGTCGAAATACCAAATTATTGACATCATAATAAAAGTTTTTTTCCCTCTAATCTGCATTGAGGTAAAAAAGCAGACGATTCTCTCTCAACTCTTCTTTCAAGTTCATAATTCACGTTGTTGTATTTTCTGAGTTCTGTTATTTCTCGAGATTATTTAGTGCTGCCTTTTTTTTTTTATCCAGATATTTTGTGGATAAATTAAGAATATTTTAAATTTTAGCCCTTTCTAATACAATGACAGACAAGAAACACACTCATGAATTTACTGCTTGCAACATTGAAAAACGTAAACACGTTGCATTGACAGTAATGCAAAAAGTGCAAATTCTGCAAAAGATGGAGGCAGGTGCCACTCCTTGATTTATAGCAGAATGGTATGGAATTGCGACACGATTGTGTATATGATATACGAAAAAATAAAGAAAAGCTGTTAAAATTTTACAGCAACAGTGATTCTAACACCGGAATCCAAAACCAGAAATCTTTGCATAAGGCGAATTTGGCAAACGTGGATGCTGTGTACATATAATACAATGAATAATATAATCAATTTATATATGTAATAATAATTTAATGCATATAAATTATTGCAATAATGTATATAATAATTGAATTAAATGTATCTAATATGCCTTATTTATTTTGCACTTTGAGTCTGAATATTATGATTTATCTTTTCTATCCTGAAATCTGCAAAATTCTAAAATCCGCACAAGCTCTGGTCCCAAGCTTTGCGGATTTCTGGACTTCTACTGTATATGCAAAGGCTGATAATTCAGCTTCAACCTGAAGAAAAAACTGTAAAAAATACAAAAGTTTTTTCACTTTAGGTTATGGGTGAAGTCTGGTATATCTGACATTTATGTGTGTGATAGTTCAGTCTAGCTACATAAGTTAACATTCTGTATAGGAATTGGGCAAGAGAAAAACTTTCATTCAGTATTTCTGGGTGAGTGGGGTAGGGGTAATCATTATAAGCAAGTTCATTGTAAAGAGGTTTCACTGTTAAGATTTATTAAAGTCCTTATTAAACTCTGAAGTTAAGTAAATTAGGTTTAATGTTTAATTTTTTGCTTTAAAATATCTTATAATATTCGGAAAAATTACAAGATTTAATACAATTGTATTCAGCTCTTGAAATTATGTATTAATTTTTTTTTCATTTTTTTAGTGAACAAAATATTTTACTTAAGAATCCAGAGAGATTGTTTCTTGAAGATTATGATCATGACCTTGAAATATTGCTGGCATCATCTGTGCCTTTAGAATTTGATGCTTTGGTCCTAAATCAGTGCATGAAAGTAAAGGAACATTTGCATGAAAAACTTATTGAAGATTTGTCTCACTTTATCAATAATACATCAAAGTAGGTACTCAAAAACATTTTGTTTATTCTTTCTTTGTTTTTGATCAGGAGAGAGTTGCCAGTTAATGTGTGTTTCAGTAATAATATTAATTAATAATAATAATTTCCATGTAACTGTGTGTGTGGAAATAAAATAATCTGAATACTAGAATCTAATTTTATGAAATAATCGAATAGTGCATATGATAATAGTATGTAAAATATAATATGGATGTTAATTTTTTGAACTACTGTGTAATTAAAAAATCTAGAAGAGAAATTATTGTTATTTTTTTTATCTGATCGGGTGTTATGGGTTGTTTGTCTAATTCAGAAATCAATATTTCAAATTGCTCTTTTGGGGAGGGGGGGGGAAAGAGAATGAATATTTGCTCTTAAAGAAAAAAAAAAAGCACCATGAAGGAAGTGGTGATTAAAAAATCAAGGTCATAGTACCTGTTCAAGGCTCACAATCACCCATTGAGTGTTCAAATTAGTAGTTGGTCAAACCAGCCCTGGCAACTATGCATGCTCCAGTTTGTCAAGGCAAGGAGTATAAAGGTTCCTAATGTCATCGTACGACACATTCTGCCAGGCATTCATCAGTTGTCGCTCCAGAACTGTGATATTTTGTGGTGCCCGAATCTGGCAGCCTACCATGTCCCAGACATGCTTGATTGGCAAAAGGTCTGGTAACTTTGCTGGTCAAGGAAGAGTATGAACTGTATGGAGACAGGCCAGATATATGTTAGTGGTGTGTGGCCTGCCATTATCTTGTTGGAAAATGGTCCCAGGTTGGCATGCCATGAAGGGTAATGCAACCGGCTGCAGGATGGTATTAACATATCGTTGAGCTGTTAACGATGTATGGAGGATGACTAAAGATGACCTGCTATCATAAAAAGCAGCGCCCCACACCATCACACCAGGGGTGCCTTTGTAAGCAAAGGCTGATTGTGACCGCTGGACCCATACTCTCCAGACACGAACACGGTGGTCATCTGCTTCAAGAATGAAGCAGGATTCATCTCTGAACACTATACGATGCCAGTCTGATGACAGCTGTAGGGCGTTGAATAGTCAACAATGATACCGTTGGGCCACTTCGGGCCTGGCGAACAATCATCATGTCTTGCCTTGCATTTGTGCTCCTTGGCCTTCCAGAGCCTTCATTTCACTGCCAATTTCCTTCTAGCAACCATTGTTGCCAACATCTTTGCACAGCAGTGTCTGCACGCTGCAGGTGATGGCCTATTGCTCGGTATGATCGGCCAGCTTCACGCAACTCTACAATGCGACCACGTTTGAAGTCATTTAGTTGTCTGCAAGGTCTTCGATATGGCATCTTTAGTTGCTTCTGTACGGAATTACAATGGCAGCAACAAAAAAAGATAAATTTTCCACATCTGTTACTTGTTTTTTACTTTGTGAATTGCACACCAAAAATGCGCTCTATGATCGCAATTCCTGTTCATCAAGTTGTTTTTGCATACCAAATTTCATCACGATCGCAAAAGTTCTTGGTGCTTTGATTTTTTTTTTTTTTTTCAAAAGAGTGTATATTTCAAGTACAGACTAGCTCTTTTTTCAGTATACAAGATTTATTTTACCTTGGAGTAAAAATGTTTTATTTTTGGAACAATGTGCTTAGGACATGAGAATAAGATTATGTCTAATATTATTTCTGTTATCTGTTTCTTTCCTTCCCACCAGCATGTAAAAAGATGTTTAAACTTCATACAACATTGTTAGGCCCATGTCTTTTTTTTTTAAATATTCTGTGAGAAGTTTCCTTGAATAACTTGAATGAAATAAAAAAAAGCATATATTAGTGTAATTTTAAATTCAATTCTAAAGTGATCACAATTGGAATTTCTGGTAGTAAGGGAAACTTTTAAAAATTATTTTATGGATATTCTCTGAAGATATGTTAACTTATTTATTAGAATTCTCTTTTCTTGCATATTTCCTATATCCTGAAAGTTGACATAGTTGAAGCTATTTATCACAACTTGTGTGCAAGAATTTGCATTTTGGCCTCTTAAGTACTAACACCAAATACTGAAATATTGTATACTGCATCAGAAATGTAATTCAGAATATTTTGTATATTAAAAAGGAAAGTATTGCAGAAGACTTGTTAATTTGCAAGTTTAAGAATAGAAATGGCTGCATAATTAAATTAAAAATTCTCAAACTGATATATAAGTTTCATTTTTTTAATATTTTTTTAGCAAATGTGTAAAAGGATATATTTACGAATAATTTTTGAAATTTCAATGTGTCATAGAAAATTTCACGTATTTTTCATTAGTACCTAAATTTTATTTCAGAGAGAGCAGGAAATATAACATAGGAACATGTCAAATGTTTCATAAAAAGGTTTGAGAATACAGTCAAAAGTCTTTAATCCGGACTCGTCGGGACTTCAGCGATTCCGGATTATCGATTTTTCTGGATTATAGATTATCAGTTTAAATCTGGTAAGATGGCATGCCGAAATTATAAGATTAAAAATATGAAACCGTAATTTATAAAATAATGAGCAATTATGATCTAAAGGGTATCAAAATTTACAAAAAGAAGCTTAATATTTATTTGTTTACTTTATTAAACATTTCTTTCAATGCGCACATGCGTAAAGCATACCTTACGCATAGCTGAAATTAGAAAATTGCAACTAGAAAACTATTTGATTTGTATTCGTGATATTTATAATGACGAAGAATTTGATTTAAATCATATCAAAGACGGAGTACATCGAGATTAAATACTACATTTAGTAAGGAATTATAAGCCGAATAATAATAAAAACATCTGCCTGAAGATAAGGATAGTGCTGACAGATCAACTTCCAGTTCATTGCGCGCCACGACATTTCCACCCCAGCCCCGCGCAGAGCAGCATGAAATTGATAAACAGAGATTTCGGAATGGTTAGATGAAACAAAGGATATGCCTTTATCCTTTTTTTATTTTTGTAGCAATTCGTTTTTTTGTTTGATGGACATCGAAACATACTTTTCGTTTTGTAGATCCTTTGGGAGCTCCAGCAATCGGAAATTCTATTTGACATAATCGAAAGTTCAAGCTTACTTTTATAAAATTGCTCTTAAAGTCTGCAAAAAATAATAAGCCGGATCCAATTCGAAGATTAAGGAACAACGCAATCATCAACATTAACTGAAATAGATAATTAGATAATTTTAGCTGAGCTTATCCCATCCGTTATACATTAAACGCGCATTCGTAAACGTATTTTGCACACGCAAATTCGCAGCATCAACGCGATGCATGCGCAGAAAGTTTGTAGCTTTGAGGTCCGGATTATAGATCATTCTGGATTATGGGTGTCCGAATTAACGACTTTTGACTGTACTAGTATTACAGTTTTGTTAGATCTACAGGGAAAGCAACATAGAAGCACAGGGAAACCACAGGGAAAGCAAGATAGAAGCACAGGGAAACCACAGGGAAAGCAAAGATATGTAAAAGCAGTATAGATTCTTGGGATGGAGGTATGAAACTCACAGGAAAAAAAAAAAAGGTATGAAAGCATAAAGAAAATTGGTAAATGGTGTCATGATTCAGAATAAAGGTAATCATTGAGGATAGTGCTGTTTATTTAAATAAAAAAGCTGTACAAGTGGAAGAAGTCTAAACGTCTTTATTTTTAATATAACTGGTTATCTGATGATATAGAAGTCATGTAGCTCATGATATTCATTTTTAAACATATAATTACATAATAATACATGATACATACACAATAAACATTTTTAGACCTATAATGTGCAAAATATGATCTGCTGTGGAATGGCATTGCAAGGAGGCATCCTATTGATAAACATGATTATTTGAACAAAGTTTTATATTTCTGACAGATTTACATCTTATGAGATCTTCAGACTCATGCAGCCTTAAAAAGTTGGAAAGTGATAACTCCTTCTCTTATTCCCAATACAGTCAAAAGTCGTTAATCCGGACTCGTCGGGACTTCGGCGATTCCGGATTATAGATCATCAGTTTAAATCTCGTAAGATGGCATGCAGAATTCTAAAATTAAAAATATGAAACCATAATTTATGAAATAAAGAACAATTATGATCTAAAGGGTATCAAAATTTACAAAAAAAAAAAAAAAAAAAAAAAAAAGCTAATATATATTTGTTACTTTATTAAACATTTCTTTCAATGTAAGTTGTTTAAGTTGCTTCATTTTATGTGATAATACTTTCTCTTTAATTCTATAAACAGACATAATTTCTTGTTCAGTTACAAAGTTCCGCTGTTCAAGTCCCGTTAATTGCTGTGCCGAGAATACCGACTAACTTGTCAATCGAAATTTTTTCGTTTTCACTAACCTCTCTGTCACATTCTTCATGTCTTTATCCATTTTTTGCAGCAATTCCACTTTTTTTTTGTTGGACATCGAAACATACTTTCGTTTTGTAGATCCTTTGGAAGTTCCAGCATCGGAAATTCTATTTGACATAATCGAAAGTTCAAGTTTACTTTTATAAAATTGCTCTTACAGTCTGCAAAAAATAATAAGCAGGATCCAATTCGAAGATTAAGGAACAACGCAATCATTAACATTAACTGAAATAGATAATTAGATAATTTTAGCTTACACCGTCCGTTATACATTAAACGCGCAGGCGAAAACGTACTCTGCACTTGCGCACACGCATATGCGCAGTAGTCAAGGTCTTACGCGCACGCGTAAAACGCCTGTGCGGCGGCACATGCGCAGAAAGGTTTTAGCTTTGAGGTCCGGATTATAGATCATTCTGGATTATGGGTGTCCGAATTAACGACTTTTGACTGTAGTCCAAGACACAGTGCAGTTGCGGCTTTCTCTGTCTGTACGGGACATGATTGCCTTGCCGCCCACCTGCACTGCATAGGCATTTCTAGCAATTCTATTTGCCTACTTTGTGATTCTGAAGAAGAAATGGTGGTTTTCCCTATGTGTAACATGTATATGAGCCCGTTTCCCTTAGAAAGTCCTCCACGAAGGTCCATAAAATAACGTAACCGAAGAAGAAATGGACAGGGACCACCTGCTTTGATGTGGGAGCCTTCATGGTCTTAGAGGAGTCGAGGTACTGGGAGGCAAGAGTCCTCCTTAGGCAATGGTCTTTTTGTTCTTAGTTCTATGGTTTGTAACTTCTGTTTATAAGATTTTAGTTCATTGTAACTCTTTGCCTGGCCACTGAAAACAAATTTCTGACAGATCACCTGTGGTTGCTGTAATAGTATAGAACAATAGTGCAGCAAGTCACAAACTTTTGTTGGCATACAGTGCTTTTATGAGGATTATTTAAAGTGTATTTATTATTATATACAGATTGATTCAGAAATCATTAACTTCTCATTATAAATAGTATTTATTTTAACAATGGGAGACTTTGCAGATATTACTGTTTAGGGTAGATGTGTTTGATCTTCGGTAAAACCTTCATCTAAATTATAGGGAAGCATGCTAAATACAGTGAGTGGAAAGGAGAATCACTGCATCATAAATCACATACAAGAATAGAAGTTTGCTTCGTCGGAAAGTAAAAGATCTGTGGAACAACAACATTACAAACAGCCTATATGATGCAGTAGTTAGTACTTTAAATAAAATGGACTGATGTCATAATTTCTTTCATATTGAAGAACATAGTGGTCATTTCCAGCATCTTCTGCAAAAACATACTTTTTATTTATTTACCTCTGTGATTCTTACTTATACAGTATAATAATGTATATTAAACTACTTCACTGTTTTCTCCGAAACAGACTCGTCGATTTACCCTTCTGTAATGTTTTCTTCATTCGGCAGCTCATTTTGAAATAATTCAAGTAATTCAAGTATATATATTTTTGTCTTTAATCATGAGTGATGAAAAATTATGTAATCAAATATGTTTGTGTAAAGTCTTTTTGTCACGCTATTTTCTTGCATCTTTGATTGTTCAATGCATGTGTTTTTTAGGATTTGTCTTTCATAATCATTTGGTTTGGACATGGAATGCTTATTTCATTCTCATTCTGTTGCAGATTCATTACAGAATTTTCTCAATTATTGGCCTTTTCCAGCCCTTCAAAAGCCGTTCTTATCTCATTTAGTTGTTCATATGTTGCCTGCACTTAAATTTGAGGCACTCTGTAGAGATTTGTACAGCTGTAATTTGCTGTCATAAACTGCTGTTTTGTTCAAATTTTGCTTTTTATAACTTTCTCTCCATAATAGCTCTGCATTATGAGACCCTCATTAGGTTTTTTTGTGGAGCTTTCCTAATTATTTGTAAATTTGGTTCTTAGTTAGGTTTTTTTCCTTCTACCAGACATCACGTCCATAATCTGACCAGTGGATCAAGGAATCATAAAAACATTCAAAGCCTCTTTTGCCAAGCATGTTTACATCTCTGCAAATAAAATGCTAGATGAAGAAAAGCACGACACACTAATGAGAGTTTGGGAGCAATTCAACATAAGACACCTGATAGAAATGATTAAACTCGTATGGGAACAAGTGAATTCATCAATAATGAATGCTTGCTGGCATCAACACTAGCCAGAAGTTGTGAGCAACTTTAAAGGATTCTATCAAATAAAAATAAAGCCAAGGAAATCATACAAAAAGTAAAGATATGAAAGAAGGAGAAATGAAAGAATTAGTCAAGAATGATGATCATGAAATGACAAGTGAAGAATTAGATGATCTTATAACACCAGCCAATGATTAAAGCACTGATAAAAATAAAGAGCATTTAATGCATAAGAATTGTTAAAAAAGGCACAAGAACTGTCTGATTTTATAATGGAGTTTGATTTAAGTGAAGGAAGAAGAGGACATATCATGAGAAGTACAAGAAAACTTTCACTACTTGTTGCAAAATGTTAAATGAGTTGCATCAGACATAGTTCCAAGCAAAAATCACCAGCTATTTAAAAACAAAAAGAAAGAATTGTGTCATGTCCCTACTTATTAAGCAGTAATAAAAATCTTTTCAGTTGACATTTGTTTCATTCCCCCTTTTGAATTACAATAATATTAAGTTTTGTATATATTTTCTTAAACTGAAATATACCTAACGCGTTTCTTTCATAGAAAGTTAACTTTGTGAAACATTTTTTTACCATTTAGGTGATATGTTAATGATGTAACCCCAGCATTCGGCAAGAGTTAACCGTAATTGTTTATGTGATGATACATTTGTACTCTTTCATATTTTTCTGGATTAAAACTGAATGTAATTTCTTTTAAACAATATTACAGCTTCTCAAATAAAGTCTTGGCAGTTTTTTTCTATCAAGCATCTGCTGATGATGTATCAACTATTCAAAACATATGTCAGTGTTTTGAATTATTTTATCACCCCTTGTACCCTATGAGAGGATTCTACAAAGGAGTCTTAAGGTAAGTTTCTAAATTTCTAAACAATGTGGATTTTTTTGGGGAGGGGGGGATCGATTTCACGTTAGAAGTTGTTAAGTTGAAGAATAATTTTCAGTAGCTGATTAATTTTTTCTCTCTGAATATGTTGTATATTTTGAAATGTGTGTAATGATTAATGTGTAAATATTGATCCTGGTTTGGAGGTTCCAGCAGTTTATGTAACTCAAAATAGAGAGCAGACTCCAAACAGAAGTCATGTTATAAAATGTTTATAAATTTATAAAAGTTTGTAATGTTTATAAATTTATAAAAGTTTGTAAAAATTTATAAAAGTTTTTCGAATGAAAAGTATTAGAGTTACTAAAATTCATTAGTAAATCAAATTTGAGGTTTCAAATAACTCATTGATATGTAGAAGTTTTGGAGTTAATATGAGTGCTAAGTGGCTCGAGTTGAAAGAAATATTGGTTCCCCCCCCTTTTTTTTTTAAACCCCAAAAGGGCATTAGTAGACCCAAAGGGTATTAGTCACAAAATGGCATTTTGTGAATCATGGCATCATTTCACTTTGTGCATTGGTTCACTTTTCAAGATTCTGCATGAACACATGAATGTTTCTTGCATTGTGAAAAAACAATGGTACCTAGAGCCATGCAATTTTGAATAACATAGTCCTCCAACTGAACATGGGCACTTGGAAGCCCAAATTTTAAATTTCGAATTTGTTTTATTATCTATTTAAAATTTCTTAAAGCTTTAACGAATTTTGGATTAACACATTTAATGAACGTCGGTTCACTTTTCAAACTGTTGCCACAAAATGTTAGAGTCCTGCATTATATTTGAAGAAATTAAATAATGAAAAATCTGCATAAATGATTGTCTATTTCTCGCATTGTGATAAAACAATGGTACATAGAGCCATCGAATTTTGAATGACGAAATCCTACTGCGAATATGGGCATCTGAAATCCAAAATTTGGAATTTGTTTTATTATAGATTTTATATTTTGTAAAACTTTAACGAATTTTTGATTTATAAACTCAATGCTTTAAAAGCGAGAAATGGCAACGTTATATAGAAAAATATACTTTTATCTCCAGCTCGTGAGATTGTGTATATCGGAAATTCTAAAGATATGCTTAATTTAACATTATTTTGCGATATTGCTCTTGAACTGAATTTTATGGTTTAAGTGCAAAGAACATGATATTTAATAAATAAAGGTTAAAACTCAAAACGTTAAAAAAAACGCATCTTTGGACGTAATTTAAAATCTGAAAAATTTCAGGATTTTTTTTTTTTTTTTTAAAGTGGAAACAAATAGGCTCTACTACTGTTATTGCTTAGTGTACAGCACATTTCTTGAATCAATTCCTCCACCCTTTGTGCCATTGACTGTGTCTCAATCTGAACAGAAGATTCTTTTGTCCCGTCTCCTAAATAAAATATAAAAAAATAAAATGAAAAGACAGCAGGATACTGCTCCTTTCTTGTACAGTCATTAAGTTCTATTGACACTTTCAAACTGAACTACGCATGTGCAAATTCCATTTAGTAACTAGTTAAATGATTATCATGAATTAGGATGGTTCTGTTACCTATTAACACATACATAGGATGGTTCTGTTACCTATTAACACATACATAGAAAGTACTAGCTTCTATTTTCAAATATATCATACCAGTTTGTAACTTATTTAATGTCTTCCCCCTCATTAACCATCTTAATTGATTATTTTTGAAATTTTTACTTAATCAAATTGATTTTGACTTGATCAAAGGTTTTAATAAAATGATCATGTAATATCAGTCCTGTTTACAAATGTAGCTGTTTGGTTTTATTTGTTTTCTGTCTTTGTAGGCATGATAGTTTATTAAACTTGAAAAAATATTATACATCTATTAAATTCGAAAGTTTATTAAACTTGAAAAAATATTTTACATCTATTAAATTTGAAAAGAGTATTCTATGCCTGCTGTTTTCATGAATTTTGCAGAAATAGTTTTCCATTTTTTCCAAAGAATTTTTAAAAAATTATAGTGAGTAAATTTTTGCATTTTAATTACCAAGTTTAAAATATTATTTTATATTCTCTGAATGTTTATGACACTAAAAGATTAAATCATGATGCCAGTTAGGATGATTAAACTTTGTCTGTCATGAGTCAAAAGCAAAGTAAAAGATTAAATCATGATGCTGTAATTACGATAATTAAACTATACATGTTATTGGTTGAAACTAGAGTCCATTTTTTTATTTATTGTATTGAAAAAGGGCCTTTGGTGTCTTTTTATTTTATAAGAGAGCTGATTTGGAGTTATATTTTCTTATCTAATAAATGTGGAGTAACGGTCAATCAGATTAAAAGTTCATGTGTTATTGCAGGATTTATTATAACTCTTAGAGCTAGTTAGTATTCATTGTCATTCATTTGGGAAAATAAATGACGAGACTCTATATGATATGTTAAAGAAATATGGCATGTTAAAAAAATATGGCTGCCTTTACATCCTACTAATTACTACTTCATGCTATTATCTGCATCATGAGCAGTACATATAATGAATAGAACAGAGAAGGGTTAGAGTATGATTGTCATGTAATGATTTCTTAGAAAGGTAGACTGTGCTCTGTTTTCTTCATTATCGAAATGAATGCTATTTTTTCACCATATCTACCATTATTAGTTTTATTAAATATTATAATATAAATCGAATTTAAAATGTTATATGTTTTAAATAAGCCAAATGAGGCCTCCAGGTTTGCATCTTAGGTGTAATTGAATGATATAAGAACAGTAATACATACTTGGGAATATTTTTTTTCTTTATTTTTATCTTTTATGCTATTAAATTTTCTAAAATTTTCTATTTTTATTTGCTGTTCTCTATTTATATCTTATTCTAATTTTAATATATGTGCAAAATTTTATGAATTTCTGTCATTTTAATTCTATTTCTAAATGACATGTATCTTAATACTGATGTTTACCATGTAACGGGAAATTTGAATTCCTTCTTTATGTATTGTATAATCAGAAATTAGAAACACTTCATTTTTACGGTCTTATTCAATGATTATTGATCTCCAATGTGTAACAAATGGAGTATGAATTTTTGCTAATGTAATTAGTGCAAAATGAATAAAAAAAAACAGGGTTCGTATGGTCCTTAGGTTTTTTGGAATCGATTTTTAGTCCTTTAAAGTCCTTAATTTCGGCCCAAATCGGAGAAGGTCCTTAATTTTAATCATCTGAAATTTTTGTCTTGTTTTTACGACTGCTGTTTTGAGTGTGAATTATCATTATAGAGGAATATTTTTGACAATTCACTGACAAATATGATTTGAATAGGTTCATGGGTTGTAATTTGTTTCTATTTTTAATGTAAAGGGTGGGATAGAGTTTCTGAGCAAGGAGTCAAACATAAGCATATCAAAATTATTTATTTATTTGTTTTTTTATACTGAAGAGCATTTAAACAACTTTCTGCTTTTGGGGATGCGAATTCTTTTATTAAATGGCTCTAAATTTGGCGACTTATCAACAATATGGCGATTTTAAGATTAATTTCTATAGAAAATTTTTAATTTGGAGATCTGGGAATTTTTTGATGATTTTTTATATTATAAAGTGGCATTACTTTCTATTTTGGTGACTTATTATATAGTATTTTAAATCTAAAAAATAAACCAGGTAATAATAAATGCTATAAAGCACAGTTTACAAAACAGTTCATAGCAAAAGCAAAATTGCTATATAATTAATTAAAAATTTCTTCCTTTTAATTTTTTCATGGCAAGAATTTTTCCCATGTAATCGGCTCAGAATATTCAGAATTGTCAGAATATATATCAGTTTTCTCTATAAAATTAATTTTACACTTTTTCTACTGATTTTGTTTTCAAAAGATTTGTAGTCCTTTTTCTCTTGCAGAATTTAGTAGGGCTAATGTTTCTTTAGGATTTTACACATGGCAACATGAAAAGTTTAGAAGGATTTGAAGGCAAGATTTACAGACCCACAATTCTAGATGGCTCCAGAAAAAATTGACAAAATAAAAATGTCTTCATTGTATTTATACATAATGGATGTATTTTACAGAAAGTTTGTGATGAATTTCTTATATTTTGGGGAATTTTTGGAAGGACAATGGAAACATAATGTTTGAGTGTTTTACTTCTGATACTAGAAATGTTTTCCTTAACATGTTTATCTTCCCTTTATTTTCTCAACTTTTCACTAGACACAACCACGGAAAATATCAAAAATGTTCCGAATCCTTTCGCATGGACAGGCATTTATAAAAGAGAAATTTTTCTATTAACAAAGAAATTGAAAACTGACAATTTAAAATATTCACCTTATATATCTCAATGGATCATACACAGGGCTGACACAAGGCATTTTCCCACCTGATGCAATCTCCACGGATCCTAAATTCTGCTCCCACTGCCTGTCCTAAATTCTAAAAGTTTTGCCTTTTCTAGATTTTGTTGCTCAATGTGTCACTAAATTCTAAGAATTCTGCCTCATTGGCCCTGAAACCACCCCTTACTATACATCATTTCATATTTATCAGCTTTTTCTTTGGATTCTAAATACATTTGGTTTTTTAGAATAACAGAAATCTTTAATTCCAAAAATTCTAAAGTGAAGAGGAAACAAATTGAAGAAAGAAACTGAATGCATAAAGAGGAAGAAAATTATTCTTCGATGATATGTACAGCTATTATTATGCAAATTAACGAGTTGTTTGTAATTTTAGCCTTTCCATTTCCTGACCATAATACAAATCAGATAGTTTTTAAACTGAATTTGGAACTGAAAGACAGCCCTCCACTTGGATGTCGCATTAGTTTCGTTTTGGCATTTTGCATCGAAAACTTTAAAAGTCTGAATCACCTTTCAAATTCTTCGCACCCAATATTATCGCCCTGTATTATATTTAAAGAAAATTAAATAATGAACAATCTGCATAAATGCATGTATATTTCCTGCATTGTGATAAAACAATGG